TGGCCCCCTCAGCATCACCAGAAACATGGAAGCGTGTCACTGAAAAAGAGGGCCAAAGAGAGCACGACATTTGCACAACCCTAAGTACAATAAACCTCTCCATCATGACGAAGACTGGGAACAGATGAACTTTGATCTTGCCTGTCCGATCTACTGTCCTGGCACAATCTACTGCCCTGTTGGGCAACGGTCCTTTATCTTTGAACTGGAAGGACGGCCCTTCAAGCAGAGTGGCCCTTTGGCAGGTCTACAAAGAAAGAAGTGTGCTCGCTAAAAGGGGACATGTGGCCATCATAAAACAAGGGGGCGTTCCTCCTTACTGTTAATTCCAGGGTGTCCCTCAAAACTTCTCAGGCAGGTCAGCTATTCGCTGTGTGAAGAAGTCCTTCCTTTCGTCTGTCCTAAACTCCCCCCCAGTCAGCTTCATGGAAGGACTCCGGGTTGGAGCGTTCGGGAGAGGAGAAAGACGCCTCCCTCTCGACGTTCTCGGCCCCGTGCATGATTCTGAGCACCCCACCGTGTCTCCCCTGCATCGCCCTAAGCGGCACAGACGCAGCGGCTGTGGCCACTCCTCGCAGGGGAGCCGCTCCAGCCCCCGGGTCCTTTTTTTGCCCTTCTCTGGACTTCCCCCAACTCAGTAATGCCCTTTTTCAGGTAAGGCGACCAGAACCGAACACAACATTCCAAGTAGGGTCGCACCAAAGATTTGCATAAAAGCAGTGAGATTTTGGCAGCTCCATTTTCTCCTCCATTCCCAATTGTGTCTAGGGTGGAGTTGGCGTTCTTCACAACAGCTGAGCCCTGGGGTGACATTTTCATCGCGCTGCCCACAAGTTCCCGGAGAGCCTTTTCTTGCTCAGTCACTGCTAGCCCAAGAACAATAGGTGAAAAATAGATTTTTATATGGAAGGTTTTTTCCTGTTTTGATTTTAATAAACCGCAGCAATAAATGAATAAGACCCCTTCCCATTCTCTCCTGAAAATGAACAAGGACATTCTTAGACCTTTTGCCAGCTGGGTCCAGAAACCAGAAAATAGCTCAGTTGATGTAAAAGGGTGACATTTCGCTCTCAGAAGAGAAAACTGGAGCACTGCAGATGATGGATGATGTCCCAGATTTAGCTCCCTGCTCTTCCATGAAGCTCATGGGTGCCCTTGGGTCATGTATACCTTCTTAGCCTCACCTACCTTACCAGCAGTTTTCAGGATAAAAAAGGTGGGGGAGATTGGCCTTCCCAACACCCCAATATTCTTGGAGCAAGGGCAGGATAAAAATCCACACAAATACACAAGAAAGACCAGGGTGTTTACCTGTTGCCCATTCATCCCCTCTGTTTATGAATCATTTGTAGGCCAATGACTTTTTCAAAATAGAAGGAAATGCATTATTTGAAAAGTGGGCAAGTAGAGGAAACAGAGCTCCATGGTCTATATATATGAAACATCTATTTATATATAGGGAGGCACATATTATTTTCTATTATCATTTCTGTTATTTAAATAGATATACCACCTGACTCATCAGTATGGGTAAATTTCATTTCTATTTAAATTATTGCAATTATTTCCAAGTTTCTGTCCCTACATATATGTTGGTGCATGCAGATTTCGTGCAAATCTGACTCCTGTTTCATCCCATTTGTTGATGATGCATCTCTTCCTTTTCGGAGGCACATAGGTGCCCCCCCCCCCCACTTTCACCTTGCCTAACCATGGTTTCTTCTCTGAACCATCAGACTGTTATCTTGGTTTGCTACCTCCAATAACAGACGCACCGTTTTCCTAGTAGGACCACAACCATCCCTTCTTTCATGCCACAAATAAAATGGAAGGGAAGAAAAGAAAAGAAAAGCAGCCGCAAGCTTTCCCCAAGCAAACGGCAATTTCGGAGGCTTACACAGCTAGCGCATGTAATCATTGACAATACTCAGCCCATAGAACCCATCAGCCCCCACCTTGCCCCAGCACTTCAGGTGCCACGAATGCCCCATCTGCAGCTTGTTGTCCTTGCCGGTTGACACAGACGTCACTATGATACCGCGGTCACATCAGGTGGAGGACCATTCACGTGCCAGCCCACTGATGACCCGCTCCACACCATGCTTCTCTTATCAGTGCGAAAGTTTGCTTTTTGGTGCTGATGAATTTCATCTAAAGCATTCAACTGTTTATTCGTGGCCCTGGGGGAAAGCGAGAGATAAGCTCTGCCAGGGCCGGGCTGGGCTGACGTGCTCCTTTGCAAAGCGCTTGTTCCTCCTGCAGCAAGATTGGCCGCACCAGTAACGATTGCAGGCAGGCAGGTGGTTCTGAGATACGCTGGATTATAAACACAGGAAGCAGTCAGGCCACTGGGCCATCTAACTCGGCATTTTCTGTGCTGCTTTCCCTCCAGCCCATCTATGCTATACTTTGTAAAGCTCTCTGTAGACGCCAGTAAATGCTTCAAACAGAAACAAAAGCAAAAGCCCTTCGGCTTTTAAAGTAGTGCAGGCCAGCCTATTGCAGAACACATAAAACCCCCCAGCTTCTGGTGCTCGTCTGATGGGCATCTTCCAAGATGTGTGTGTGTAATGGGATGGATCTGTGACTTCATTCAGGGTATAACCATAACTTAGTATTTTAGTATAAAGCTGGAAACGTTGGAAGCAGAACCTGAAAAATGTGCCACGGTTGCCTGCCGTCTGGGCAACCTTTCCCTAGGCTGCACTCACAAAGCTTACACATCCAACACATCGCTGCCACCTCCCAGCATCTGCCGCCTGAGGTGGCTGCCTCACCCTGCCAAATGGTAGGACCAGCCCCGCTTCTGAAGGTTTCACTCTGTGCTCTGCCCTGCATTTATTTGTCCTCCGCTGCCTCACAAGCCGAAAGCCCTTCCTGTTTCACGTGATCGAAGGATTCGTAGGGCACACTGCATGCAGGCCAAGTGAGGGGGAACCGTTGTAGTGGCTGACATGCTACCTGGAACTCACAGGCTGTTTTAGAGTTGTGGGCAGTTTATCTACCATCCCAACAACCCATCCCGACCAGATCTGCACATCACGAGCAGCTGTGGTGTGCCTGCATCATCGCTCAAACACTCAAAATAGTCACAGCCTGCACACGAAGAAGCTGCACCGAGAAATTCACCCAAAGTGGCTTTTCATTACAGGAGAACCAGGTCACTGTCTCGGGATCTGGGGCATGGAAATTGATGTGCCAGCCCGTTTGGAGCATTTTCCCCATGGTTTAGCCTTTTAAAGGGAGGATGGCACCTTCGGCAATCACATTTTTTAGAAAGGCGTTTATTACCCTTCCTTTTCAAACCACAGAGATGTAGAAGGGGATCCCCTCTGCACAGTGGTTGTGTCTTTGTGGAAACAGGTAGTGCAGTTCATCCAGTCTTTCTTCCAAGTGCCACAAATGAAGTACTTAACATCAATTTAGTGTTGCTCTTATCTGCAACTCGGCAGCCACAGTTCCACTCAGAGCACGTCCTCTGCCCCTCCCTATGCTGCCCATCACTGATAAAGTCCATTATCCCCAGAGCACTTGCAAAATGGGTGTTGAGCAACTGCTACAATCAAGGAAAACGAAGGCGGAGAATCCTTGAAAGCAGGCACCTACCGCTGCTCCCATAATCAGCCGCTGCTTCCAGCCCCAGTCAAGGCAAGCTGCCATTTCTAGAATCAGGCTGCTGGAAAACAGACACCCCCCCACCCTACACACACGCCAGCAATGGCAGCTTCCCAAAGGCAAATGACTCTTCCACCAACAGCCTTTTGGCTTTGCAAGTATTCCAACTCGTGAGGAAGTACAGCTGCCTCCAAAACCGGATTCCGCTCAAGACATCAGCATCCTTCTAGAGCAGGTGGAGATGTTGAGCAGTTTTGTGATCCAGGTATGCAAAATTGGGACTGGCCCTAAAGCAACTGCAGGCCCCAAAAAGCAGAAGTGCCCCAAGGGGAAAAGGGGATGGCCATTTAGAAGTAAAGATGACACTTCAGAAATAAATATTATATTTAACTAGGAACACTCTCCTTCTCACCAGAGAGTGAACTTTGCAGCCAGGTGACCTTTCTGCCTACCTGTTCAGTCTGCTGTCCAGAGGCTCATTGTGGTTCTTTACCTGAAAACCATAATTGGACTGGTTGGCCCTTCAGTAGAGGACTGCCCTCTTTAAAAGAGGGCACCCCCCGCCCCCTGCCACGGGCCCTTGATTACCCAACATTCCAAGAAAATGTACGTGCAGTGGGCTGAGAATGTGACAAAATTCAGATACCACCCAGAGCAGATTTTGAGTTACTGAAAGCGAAGAACTAGCAAAATGGCTCTGCCATCCAATCATACTGTAAGCCAGTCTTTCACAATTCGGTGCCCTTTAGATGCATTGGACTACAGGCCCCATCAGCCACAAGGCAGCACAATTGGGGATGATGGGAGTTGTTTTCTGCAGACTCTTGGAGGATGCCAACTAAGGGAAATCTGGTCTCTTAAGTGCTTAAGGCTGCTAGTCCTTTTTTCATCAGGTCAGCCCTGATTCATATTCCTGTTTTTAGGGTGCAAAGGCCCTAACTGTAGTTTTATCAATAGTTTACAAAGTCAGACATAGACTAGCGAGAAGGCTTTTGGCCTGCTCCAGCAGGACTCTCCCTTTATTCCTGTGTGTAGAATTGCAACTTGTCTTGCCTCACCTCCTCCTCCTCAAACAAGGGCAAGATGCAGGACAGAAATAGGGCATGGACTGAAGCAGGTACAGCAGCTCTGAGCAGGCACAGGTGGGCTAAAGCTACCCATCTAAACTTACCCAGCAGGGTTGTGATGGAGATAAAACTCAGCTGAACCACTGCAATACAGAGAGGGAGAAACATGACTGCCATGCTAAATAGATCCCTGAACTTGACAAGCCCCGATCTGACCCATCCTAAAGCAGTCCTCATGCCCTTAAATCTAGCTTTTCCCCTCCTTTAAACTGTTCCAAAGGTAAGCTCACATGGTAAAGAATGAAGCTAAGAGAGATCTTTGAAAAACAAAAAGGCAACTTTATTTCTCCCCTGTCCCCCTGGACTTGGTAGCAAAGTCACAACATTGGCAGAGTCAAGAGTAAAACATTGAAAAACAGCGACACAACACAGGGAGCGAAATGTAGCCGAGGCTGTTAGGTCTGTATGACTGACTGACTCCAGGAAAGGAGAGCAAAGGGGGATACGGAAAAAAAGGATACCAGATGGCAAAGAGATCCAGCAAGGGTCATTTCACAGAGACCTGCAGGAGGAGGAAATGCAGACTCCACCTACAGACGCTCTGCTCTCCCACCCACCACCCACCCCGTCACCCCCAACTAGACGCCCCCAGTCCTTTTCAACGTCAAACAGGGCAGTGAGCAAAGTCTATGATGGCGGAGAAAACCGAACATCTGGATGGGGACAGAGGCAGGCCAGGGTTTTTCGTTTGCTTTAACACTATTTGAAGGGAAGAGGGAAGAATATGTCAGCCTGTAAAGGCAGAAAGAGGACAGAAATAAAGGAAGGTATCAAAACCAGCTTAAGAGTCGAGGCCAGCTCAGCTCCATCACGTCATGAGAGACAAGTTAGCTTTGAATTTCACAGTGCGTTCACCACCTGGTTGTGCAATACTGCCGTGAGCAAAGGGCGCAAGCAATCACGCTCTGTGTGTGTGTGTGGGGGGGGGGCAACTCTAGGAATGCTGCTTCCAAGGGGTCCCCCGGTGAGAAGTGATGGGAAACAACACGACCTTCAGGTCTCGCAACATGAGGCCTGGATGTTGAGCTTCTTGCAAGCCAAGCCTATAGAAAGGCCTCAGGATCTGCCACACAGCAATTGTGTACAGTGTCGTGGAGCAGAATACATGAAGCAATACATACAGCCTGCCTTTTGGGTTGATTTTCCCCTACCCCAACTGAAGAGAGTACAAAGTTTCAGTCAAATCAAAACCATCTCATTTCTCAAGGCATTTACAGAGTCAGGCAAATCTTGATTCCAGCAGTCGAGAGTGTATGGCAGAAACACACACACACACACACACACAATATGTGAGCAAACACCAAAAATAATGATTAACTCTATACCCCAACCAGCATTTCTAAAGGGAAGAAACCAAGGTTCTGTACCAAAGGCTACTGCAAGCAGTGGTGTTTGGTAGACAGATTAATTCCACATATTGTGGAAAGGACTCCAGCAGCTTGGGTACCATTTCTTGGGCTGGCAAGGGCTGCTTTAGTTTTTTCCTGAGTAAACTGGATTTCCAGCATTGTCAGTTCTGCCTAAGGTTTGGACCAATCCTCAGCAGACACTGCCAACGCTTTGGGCAGCTACTGCATGAAAGACCTCATGCTCACTCATGCTGTAGAGCCCCATCCAGCCTCAGAAGTAACAGAGCTCTAACCTAACGTCATCCTACACTGAGGAAAAGCTGAACGAGGAAGCACTGGCTTCCCCTAATCCCTAACGCGCTTAGCCTCCACCACTGCTGCCCATGCCTGCAATGGTTAAACGCAGCTCCTGCAACCCAAGCAGTTTGCTTCAAAAGACGTCTTTCCACTATTTCAGAAATGCCCGGAAGGAGTCACATTTTCTCAGAACCCAGCTTCATCGGTACGGATCTCAGCTAGATCTTGCTGAGTGGCCCACACATGGGGACAGGCTGAGGTCTAGCTTGTTTGCCTGTTCAGTACTTAGTACTCCTCTGATGGAGATTTTAATCCCTAGATATTTTTTTAAAGAGGAATCAATACCTCAAAGAGAGAGAGAAGAGATTGCATGCCAAAAACCAGAGTTAGGCACGAACAATTTAAGAGGTAAATGTGAAGATGGTAAATGTGAAAGGACAAAGTTGCTGGGTTCCAAACCCCAGCAGCCTCACAGGACGGCTAGTCACCCGGAACAATGGGAGATGTTGTCCTGCTATGCTCTCTCCTGTCTGTTGAAATGATAGACGCTTAGCTCGTTCTTGAAATAGAAAGGGGGAGCCATGGGGTTGATCAAGGAGAAGATGCTGGAAGGACCCAACAGTAGCAGCCTTGTGGCTGTTCTTTCAAGCCATCCCTTCATTTTTTTTCAGTGTCATGATTTCCATATTCTCTTCTTATCAAGGATCAGGGAAACCAGTTAAGGCAGGTGAAGAATGTGGACAGTTCTGACCTGAAGAACTTCTTTGCCTGAGATGGGAATGGAATCCTGGGAGGGAAGATGGAGGCTGCCTGCCTGTGTCTTCTCAACGCCCCAGTGGCCGAGCCCGGCCTTCTAGAGGACTCCTGAGGCCACAGATGAGGGTCTGCTCTTCACAGGCAGAATGAGGCAACAGAATGGACTGTGCTATGGCTGCCTTCTGGCACAGGATCCTGCTTTGGCATGCACCCACTAAGTAAAAATCTAGCACATCAGAAAAGGAAGATTTAGCCGAACCAGCTCCCTTCATCCTAGTTTTCTAATTGCAGGGGAAGTGTGTGTGTGTGTGTGTGTGTGTAGGGTTTTTTCCAAATGGCACCTCTCAGACTTGCACTTTCAAGTGCTCCAGGCCACCGGATGCCTCACAAATCTATAGCCTCGTGCCATCCCATGAAGAGATCAGGCCAAGTTCTTCTGAGAATTTCTATTTAATCCCCAACTCTAGGTCAGCTAGGTGGCAATATTATTTTAGTTGGGCAATATTATTGCCCAATGAAAAACAAAAAAGCAGATAAGCTTCGCAGAGAAGGAGGGAAATGATCCCAAGGTAACAATTGAGGCTTTTTGAGCGGCAGGGTCAGGACATAGAGAAGGCAACAGCTTCACAATGTTGGCGGCTCAAACATTTGAACAAGAGCAAATGCTGGGACGTGCGAGGCAGTCACACGCACACTCTTCCCCATCAGGGGACAGGCACCCTGTCCCTTCCATTCTGGCCCAAAACAAGAGTCCTGTGTGGTCCACACTGGGTTCACCTGGCACCCCTTGCCTGGAGAGGCCTTTCTCCCACTTCCTGGAGGATAATCCACCAGGCATTCCCACAAGCCTCTCCTCTCCGTCCACTTCGACTTCCATAAACCAGCTGCTCTCAGAGGTCGGGAGAGTCCTGTGCCTGTCCGTGAAGCAGAGAGAGAATCTGGAGTGCAGCTGCCTCCGGTATGAAGGGGAGCAGCAAGAAATGTAGTGTCGTTGCCAATCACCATGGCAGAGAGGTTTGTCTCGGCTTCCATCTAGTCCCCTGCGCATCGCCTTCCTGAGTCTTGTTAACCAGTCACTTTAAACTCCTTTAAAAAAGAGAGACAGGGTGATCTGCTCAGACATTCAAAGTCCTACATTCAACATCCGACAGCAGGCAGAGGCCACGGAGAAAGAGCAGCGCCATATCCCAGCTGGGAGGTCTCCCTCTTCGCTTGATCGAGCTGGGCGGGCGGCGGCAAAGTTTGCAGCCACGAGAACCAAAATCATTGCACTGAATCACCAGAGGGTTTTGTTGTTGTTGTTGTTGTTTTTTTTGGGGGGGGGAGGTAGCTGGGAGCCAAACGTCACAGATTTCAGCTCCAGCCAGGCCTATGAAGAGACATCAGTCTGGGCAAAACAAGTCTTCCGGGCAGGAGGCTAGCGGGCTCGGCGTCATCACTCAAACTTTGGGCTCAGCAGCAGCAGAGCCAAGAAGCCACTCAGCAAGCCAAGGACGGCTCCAGAGTCTCGGGAGAGAAGGCCTGGCTTGACCAAAACAGGACAGCTTTGTTTTCACCCGTTCCTCCACTCCATCTCTTAATTTGACTCTTGGCAGGAGGTGCTCAGAACACCTTCAAAACACACGCACGTGCACACACCTCTCCGGAAAGCCACAGGTAGGGATGAGGTAACAATGCTTTGACTATGCATTCCAGGAAGGAGTCTTTAGCACAGGGCTCCCCATCAGTGCGTCCATCCCTTCCGGGATGAGGGGAGCAGTGCTCCATCAGGTCATGTAGCGAGTGATGGCCCGCAGCGCATAGAGGAGTGCGGCCTGCATGCGGGCCTCCAGGAGAAGCAGGTTGACATGCACCTGGAAAAGAAGGAGGGACTCTTTAGAATGGGAGGGGGCATGGGATCGCCCAGGGCAAAGCAAGGCTCTTCTCAGCCCAGGTGTGAAGAGGGGGCATTGGCGGGCAGCTGCAGGGGCCTTCACGGGTGGCGCCCCAACCAGCCCCGGCTGCCATGGGGCATCCTTTTATTTTCCTGTCAGGTCTTTACTGTGGGTATTTAGAATTCTTTTTCACTCTTTGCCTACCAGGAAAAAAAAATTGCAGCAAGAGGCAGTTTGGTAGAACAGCCGATGCACCGGATTAATCAGGAAGGAGACCCAATTCTCCCTCAGTGACACAGCCCACCAGGTGTCCTTGGGCCGGCCTTATACCTTGGCTGAACTCACTTCACTGGGCTACTGCACAGGTTCCTGCCCAAGCTTCACAGCACCCTGGAATTTTTGGAAAGCAGGCTAAAAAGACATCTATAAATTATCCAGGCCACTTAGAAGGCAAGTATGTTTTTGGGAGATATAAAATGCATCTAGCCTGGTGCTTTGTATCTTGAGAACCAAATCTTGCACACTTATATGTACTAATGTAAGCCATCAGTAACACACACACACACACAATTCTCAGGCACAGTAGGTCTGCACTGGGGAAATAAGTAGGTTCTACTATGTAAAATACAAAACAGGAGAAGGTCACATTCCAAAAGGAAAAGAAAATATAAAGAGACAATTGGAAACTCCTCTGGACAGCATATGACAGTGCAGTCATACCAAGTGTCCCCGGCCCTTCTGGGTTTGGGACACGTTCGGAATCTTGAGGGGGAGCCGTGGGCACTCTCTCAAAATGGCTGCCATTGGCAGGCTGCCTATTCATGAAATGCCTATTGTGGTGCTCATGGCCAGTCACAAAACAGCCACTTCCCAGAAGGACTGGCCCTGAGGGGTGCCTGAGCTCCAGAACACAAAAGCACTCTGCTGAATTCAAGTAAAGGTGGTGCTGGAAGGTAGCACCTGACTTGGCAGCACGCCTGCCCCCCAGTTTTAAAAAGTGTGATTAAAGAGAAACGCCAAACAACAGTCAAGAGCTGGATCAGCACCCAAGAGGGGTCCTGCAGGCACTGTGGAGACCCTGCGCCTGCCTGTCAAAGCACAGCCTTCCAGGCCCCAACGAAAGGACAGCAGAAAACGCCCTGCTCCTCGACCTACACAAACACGCACTCTTTACCTTCTCAGAATGCTTGAAATGTCTCCAGAAGTGAGTGTACATTCGCTTGGTGGTTTTCTCTGGGTAGCAGGCTACAGTTTTGATGTAGATTTTCAGACTGCGCTCCAAAAGCTGGTTTACTTCCCGGTAATCATAGTCGTCGTACCTGAAAAGCAGAAGAAGGATTTACCATGTCAGTCAAAGACTAGACGGAGTGGAACAACAACTCCCACAACCCATCACTCTTGGCCACCCTGGCTGGGGCTGGGAGCCGCCGTCCAAAACATCTGGAGGGCACCCAGATGCTCTTGGGTGAGGAAGCCTCCTTGAGCCAACTACTGGATGGCAGAAACACAAATCTGGGACTTCCACACACAAAAGATGTGCCTTCCCACTGCGCCGTGGGTCCTCCTAGGAGATAAAGTCTGGGTTCAGACAACACAATAACCCATATTCAGGTTGAATATGGGTTGAGTGTAGGTTGTCACTGAAACAGGGGTATCGTGTTGCTGGACCCCGGCTGTGCTAACCATGGGCAACTGATGGTGAGGACCCATGGCTTGTCGTCTCAGGCAACACGACGACCTGCAGTTCAAGGACAAGCCACACGCAACCCCTGAACATGGGTTAGGGGTTGCCGTGCTGTGTGATCCCCACCATCAACTTCTTCTGCCCCATCAAGCCGGCAGCCCGATCACTCATCCTTCAAATGACTCCTTCCGTTCACATGGCGAATCCTGAAGGACACATCCTCCAGCTTATTTAAAGGGTGCCTATCATCTGACCTGTCCATAAATTAGATGACTCAGTCCTTTTATCACGCTGGTTTGGCAAGGTCCTCCACGTGCCAGCGCCTCATCCCAACTTGTCTTGCCAAAAAACTTGCAGCAGGTTTGTGCTCTCTGTCTCTGGCTCTTTCTCTCTCTCACACACACACTTCTGTTCGAAGCCCAGCAACTAGCTTAAAAGGACAACGGCTCTGTGTAAATTGTTTCACATGCAGTAATCGGGCCTGCCATGGCTTGCCATTCGCAAGCAACAGCCAGCCACAGTTCAGTTGTTACTCCTGAGACAGGAAACAACTCAACTCATTAAGCAAAGCCTGCAAGGGAAGGAGGGAAGAGGCAAACCTGGGCCTCACTGCTGCAGCATTAACTCCAGGGTGATGTCCCCCACCCCAATTATGGAGTACATTTCCCAGTAAAGCCCCCCGCCCCCTGCCTCAACATGATTATCTCTTCAGTGCCAAATTAAGACTTCTCGTTTCCAGGCATTTGATGGCTTATGAAGGGCTGTTAATACATCAGTCAAATAGTTCATGCTGTTATTTAGCTGCTTTATGCCATGGCTGCACTCAAACAGATAACTGCTGTAGCTTCTTTTAAAGTGTTGTGCATATTAATTTAATGCTCAATCACCTTGGGGGGTGTGAGTGTGAGAAAGGCTTCTAGGAAGACCATGGCCTGCTCCACTGCTGCTCAGCTCTACCTAAGAACTGGGTCAGTGTTTTTCTCTCTCAGAAATAAGAGGCCAATGAAATCATGGTATGAAAGAAGGCAGAAGATCATTCATGCCAAAAGACCGGATCAAAGGAACACCCTGGACACAGTTTTGGGGGTAAACTGAACTTTAGGTGAATGAGCTCAGCCCCATACCATAGAGAGGGAGGGAGGGAGAGAGGGAATGGCCAGGAGTGTTTAGGAGAAAACACACAACAGCAGCCAACCGGCAGAAGATGCCGTCTCTCCTCCCATGGGCCAGGTCTCACGGGAACGCAGGGGTGAGCTCAGTGATACGTAGTCAGTGGTTACACTGGCTCCATAAACTGAGGCAGCGGCTCATTTGCTGGCAAGGGACTGCTCCACACTGGTATGTCAACACTGGCAAACCTAACAACACCTGTGCGAGGCCTTCCAAATGCTTCCAGCAAAGCTTCACACCAATGAAGTTTCTTGGGCTCTGCTCACTGGACTGTCACGTCTAAGTTTTGGATCTCTGCCTCTCCATGAGGAGAAGCGGTTAAAGCACATATGTGACTCTCTGTGACCCCATAAATTGTGTGGCAGTACACTCAAGTTGCCAACATCTCTCTCTGGCAATTATTGTAATGTGTGGTGGGGAAGAGGCAAATTTGGAAATGCATCGGGAAACTTGACTGAACAAAAGCTTCACATTTAACCGTGGTTTTGGATCACTGTAAGCCACTGAGAAAGCCTGGGCTGTGGGGCAGTACAGAAATGAAAATGCAGTGAAAGCTGCATGGAAGGAACTCATAGCACAGTTTACCAGGCAGGGGAGGAGGAAAAAGGGGTGCAAAGAACCTACCGAATGCCAAAGACACAGTGAACGTAGTTCCAGATGGCTCTCCGGAGCATGGATGTGTCCACCCCACTGTGCATGGCTATGGTGTTATACGTCAGGTTGTAAACCACCTGGAACTTCTCATCCAGCAATTGCCCCACATCAGGATACAAGCGGTTAATGAGGGAGTAACCATGGTCTTCCCAGGTGTAGTCCTGTGGGGAGAAATAACAGCTTCGCTGGTAGCACCAACCGGGTGATAGTGCAAGGTAAGATGTCCACTATTGGCACATGCATTAGCCTAAAGCAGAGCTTTAGAAAAGCAGGGTGCACAGGTATTAAATGTACTTATCAATATTGTGGCCAACTGCAGGAGTGTATCTATCTCCAGAGTGCCCCGCTTGCAAAATTAATATATTGGAACCCTCCTACAGGTGGTACTTAAGAACTCAAGCATCTCTGCATTCTATAGTAACTCTAGAGTTGCTAAGCCAGAACTGGGGTGGGGGGGTGGCCGGAGTGCTGGACCTGGGAGGGCTGGGTTCTAGTCCCCATTTGGCCATGAAGCTTATCTGGTGACACTGGGCCAGGCACTCGCCCTCAGCCCAGCCTACCTTACAGGGTTGTTGTTGTGAGGATAAAATGGAGCTGTTTAAGACACCTTGGGTTCCTTGCAAGAGACAAAAAGGTGGAATAGAAATGTAATCTGAGGATGAGGATAAACCTACTTGTAGCAGACTATGCAGTACATAGCTAAACCGCAGCTTTAGAGGACTCCCTCTTCACTTCTGGCCCCAAAAATAACCACTTGGAGAAAAGATTTTCTGGACCACCACCTTGCCCATCATGTTCCCAGGTTAAGAAAGGCTGGCACAAATCAGAAATGGGTTCCAGGTAAAGGATGCCATGATCTAGTCCTGACAGGGCAGTTTGATCTGGTAACACACAGTCCAGAGGCGCTGGTTGCTCCATGGAAGCGGGGACAGAATGCCCCAACCCAGCCTTCCGGAAGGTACAGCACAGGGAGCCCAAGCAGTGGGCAACTGATGGATAAGCTATGTGTACCAGGCCATTTGCTTCCTTGGAGACCTCCTCCAAAACCATGCAAAGGATTCAGAGCAAAGATTCAGCCACCCACTCATGGTGCAGTCAAGATAAACACAGTTCTTTCAAGATAAGCAAACATTTGTTATCGGTATCAGCCCCTGCTGAAGATACTTTTTGGAAACAGAAACGTGCAACTCTTGGGCACGTGTATCTACAAGAATGCCTCAGAGCACCGTTCACAATGGAAGACAGAAAGAACTGATGGATGGACACAGCTTGGAGAACTCCTGGACTAAAAGCACACCAAATGAGCAAAGGTTTGTAACATGCAACCAGCAGAATTTAGAGAAAGAATTTATATTATGCTTTGGAGGATTCAGTGCTGGTTGATTTCTATGCTCGTTCTGTTTTGGCAGAGGCTATGACTGTACACGCAAAGCACAGATCTTGAATGTGTACCAACAAAATACCTGAGCTCGGAAGGTTGGGGGCGTCTGTTCTCCTCTCCGAGTGAAATCTTTGTATCCAAATTCTGGATCCTCCACAAAGCACAGGACGTTGGGGGGCAGGGAGTGTTCAGCAATATCTACTAAAGACAGAAGCAGCGATGCAGTTGAGAAGAACAAAAATTGTGGACTGCCTTCCACCCACCCCCGCCCCCGCCCCATTCATTCCTCTCCAGCAAGTACACGGCCTTCAACCAGAGAAGGTATTGAATACAACTAAACTATGTCATTCACAGAATTGTGTCACTGGCGGTGTCGACACATCACGAAGAACTGAAGGCCGGGGCAAATTCAGCCCTCCGGGCTCCACAGAGGAGCAGCCCTCCTGACCACTGCTCATTTCTTGGCTTTTGTTCTCTTTCAAAATGTTAATCCTAGTTTGTCGGTCCAGACAATACAACCCAGCAGGTTTCAGCCAAAGCGCAGGGGTGGATTCCTGGGCACCACAATTCAGTGCACCTTGTCCCTGTTTGCACGCATCTCTCTAAGCTCTGGCGTGACTATATTGAAATAGAATGGTGATATGGGGCCTAAAAGCTTTCAAAAGGAAGAGAGATGTATAATAGAAAGTTGACATATTTTTCCAATGTATGCTTCTTATAAGGAAAAGTACTTGGCCAGGAGGAAACAGGAATAGCACTGCAATTCTCCTCTGGGGCACATACTGTTGTCTTCTGTAGCAGACAACCCCGCATTTCCTAGCTTCATAGGCCTAACAACACATTAGGTGCAAACCTGTTGACAGAAACTTGATAACCTACTTTTAAAAAGGCAAGTGTGAGGACGGGTTTCTGAGTGGAGAAGCAACAACGCTTAACCTTTCCTTGCCTTTCGTCATTCTCTTCCTGCACCCAACCCTCCATCGCAGCCTTGCAGGGCTGGGGAAGCAAACTAGAGCCAAGAAGCTGCAGGTAGACATGAGGCTTAAGCATTACACCTTCCTCCTGGTTCCACTTTTCCACTCAAACACCCTGCCCATCCACAGGTCTCCATGCCACATGTTTGCACAGCCACCGGGGAAGCTCAGGATATGCAGCACTGAAAAAGTTGTTCTGTTTGAGCTTGACGGACTTTTGACACATTTCTGACCCGATGGCCAAAGGCAGGCTGAGTCAGGGGCAGCGGTTTTGGCTTGTATGAAATTGCTCAAAAGATTTGCACACACTTGGAGCCAAGAACTGCTTGGAGCCAAGGTCTCTTGTTGCAATTTGCGCAAAGCAGGATCAATGTCTCGTTCGGTTCAAGTCCAGGTGCAGCATTTTGACAGGAGACCCCTGCGATCGTCCCCTGCATGACTGCAGGTGTACATAGGCCCTTCCCCTCCACCGGCTTATGTTGTATCAGATCAAGTCACTGCCAGCACAGGGTTGCCCAAACGGATTCCGCAGTGCCAAGCCAAGAAGACCCACTGGATTTTACCATCCACCAGATTCCCCTCACGCCCCAATCCCAGCAGTGCAGGGTCCCCAGAAAATCTCTGCTGTCACAACTCTAAACCCAGCCAGGACCACTCTCCTGCCTACCCAAGGGGGTGACAAGCAGGCTCTCCCTTTTTTCCATCTCAAAGTGGGTCTCCATCTCCTCCTGGGTGACCCCTTCCTCCTCCAACTGGCACTCCTGCAGCAGCTTCATCCTCTCCATCAGCATCTCCACATCCTCCATAGCATCCGTGCCCTGAGAAAGTGCCGACAAAGAAGGGTTAGTTTAGGAAACACTGGCAGGAGATGGTCACACCATGCATAGTTTCATGTCCCCACCTGCCTTGAGGTCGGGAAAAATAGCGTGCTGGAGGAGGAATGGAAAAATATGCCTTTTGTTTTCCTAATATTTTTTAGAAGGAAAAAAAACCAGTTTTCTTCCCTCTGAGCTTTCCTCTTGTCCCCATATGCCTTCACATTTTTATCTACAGTTACACCAGTACCAAAACACTCCCTCCTCCAAAGTTCATCAGGTGCCAGCACTGTCTTCTTGAAGCCAAGTTAAGATGGTCCTCTGCTCCTAGGCATTTGATGCAAACAATGGGGCACCCATGCTTATTGTTTCTACCCAGTCCAGAATCTTACTGTAAACATTATAACTGTTTAAATTGTTGTCATATTCTAGAGATGTTACATTATGTTTTAATGATCTTGTGTTACGGTGGGCATTTCTTGTGAACTGCCCAGAGAACTTCGGCTGCGGGGCAATATAGAAATTAATAATTAATAACAGTAATATCTGCATCAGGTCCTGGCATTTTGCACAATGGAGCCCAGATGAAAAGCAATAGCAACAAGAACAAACCATAGGCAAAGCTAGTTTAAATGATCTGCACGCTTGGCTTCGATGCAGAGGCCTGGGAAGAGCTAAAATAATTCTTCCTGTGCAGCCCAGATTCTGGAGTGCCAATTCGGCTAGTAGATGAAGGATTACGCTTCCAAGGAATGTTTTCACGTTTGCCCAGCCTTCCCCAACTTGGCTTCCTCCAGATGTGTCTCACTGCAATTGCAAGAGTCCCCAGCTGGCGTGGCCAATGCACAAGCATAGTGAGAGTTGTCAGGTTGGGCACAGTTGGCCTGGTGACCGTGCCAAGGGTCTATGAGGAGAGAGATTATTTCTTCTGCAAAGCCAAAAGAGGCTGCACAGATATTTGGTCATAGTTAAAAAAGAGACTCTGCTGTTCCTATGTCAGGGTGGAAAAGCTGTGGAAAATACAACTCCCAGTTTTTCGGCCACTCCGATTGTTTCTGACAGGTGTGGGAATCCAAAAACATAACTCCCGGCCATAAATATCCCATGCATAGGCTTCCAATGTACCGAGGCAGTTTTACTGGGCCTTTAACACCCCAACACATTAAAAAGGGGGCACCTCCCCACCCCTGTTCCACAACGTACACTGGAATTGTTCACCCCATCCTCGGAGCTGGGACTGCTATCGCAACTGCGTGGCGAAGGGGGCCGGAAGGCGTGGCCCCCTTCCTGGTCGGTTTCCAGGTTGATGCCGCAGCCAAAGACGAAGGAAGCCAGCGAGTGGTAGTGTGTGAGGAGCACCAGAGCTTGGATGAGTTCCGCCAGGGACCAGCTGTTCTCACCCGTTTTCAGGAGTGCCTGCAAACCAAGACCCCAAGGATTTCCTGTTGAGATCAGTGGGTAGAAAGAGAATTGCCCCATCTCCCGCCCATCTGCTCCCATAAGACGTGGCTCAGATGTGCTTGCCTAAGTCAGCATTCATTTCTCACATTTACATTCCCTGCACGCCCCTCGAAGTTGCTCTGGGTGACCCCCTGGGAGAGCAGATCTGGCTAAGATCAACTGGTGACCCCCACAACTCAGGTGGGATTTGAGGAAAGCCCTTCCTGGCCCCAACCTGCCAACACTCCAGCGGTGTGGCCAGTGGAAGGGTTCCACTGGCCCTCCAGATGCTGCTGGACTACATCTCCCATTATTCCAGGCCACTGACCCCGCTTCTTCCCTGCACTGCACTGCACTGCACCGTCTTTTGTGATGTTGTTGCTTCCCAAATCGCCACGGGAGGCTCGCTAGCTCCGCTCCCCTTGCTCTGTGCTGCTCAACATGAGGCCCATGGGTTAAATGGGGCCTGCTGGGGCTCCCCAGATGGCCACACCCCCTTCTCCTGGCTCCACCCCTGTATTCCCAGCCACTAACCTGTGGGGATTGCTAAGCCTCTGCCCCGTTTCCCCCACCCTGTTCTAAAAGATCGAAGGGTCTCTCCTAAAGCTTTGCTTCTGGTAGGAAGAAAGTTAAGCAGAAACATGCCGGGGATGCTGGTCTGACTGGCCCTTTCCTCTAAGACCTTCCAAAACCGGCACTCACCTCAATGTGCTCCTTCGTGATGAGCCAGGGCCGGTGGGCCAGGATCTTGTTGATCTCGTTGAGGTTCCTCAGCTTCTGCGGCGCGTACTGCAGGCCGCCCAGCCACTCCGGATTCCCTCCCACCTGCAGGAATTCCCCCATGTGGAAGCTGACCAGATAGGAACACTGGTGTCGAGCAGCAGCCTGCGGAGATGGGAAGTGGAGTGAGGGCGGGAGGCCCAGACAGCGAGAAACCCCAAGGGCAGGCTGCTGGGGACTCCCACGCAGCACAGCGGTTCGAAAACAGACGCGGCCCTCGGATCGTTTTTTATCGTCCACTGGGATTTTTAGGATGCTGTGATTTATTTTACACTGTTGTATTGTTAAACTGACCCGAGACTTCAGCAAGGGATGGTCTGGAAAAGTTTTACTTACTTACTTACATACATACATACATACAAATAAAGGGTTTCCCTCATAGATGCTCTCTGGGCAGTGCTTCAGTCCAGAAACAACGAAAACATGCGGAAATAGCCTCATTTCAAGTCAGACCTGTGGTCTGAATTCTCATGGAGAAAAACATCTCCAAAGGGGATCTCTCGTATAGGACAATATTTTCCACATTCAGATGTTCCTCCAAGGACTTAGTGCAGTATATCTGGTTCTCTCTCTCAACCAGTTGATCTTGCAACAACCCTGGTCTTAAGTTAGATTAAGACAGACTTTATTTTATTTTACCTTAGGTATGTATTTTAGCCCACTACACAACTCAGTTAAATAGTTAACCCATTCAGTTCAGGAAGAGAGTCCCTATCTGCAAGCATACAAGCCAAAAAAAGTTATAACACACAAGGAAAGAGGGGTGGGGAGGGATGAGGAAAAATAAGTCTCTTTGGAGTCTACCCTTTCACTCACCATGATTGCAATGTAGTGGCGCTTATGATATGGCAGAGGTCCGTCCATCCGAAGCAGCAGATATTGAGTCTTCCAAAAGCTTGTCAAGTACTCCGGATGCAGGCCCATCACCATGGTTATGTTGTCCACCCTGCCCGTTGAAACAAAGGCGTCAATGAAGAGGCGCCGCTGGGCACTCTCTACTCCTTCTTGGAGGATCTGCAATAAATTAAAAGAGGGGGGGCTCAGGGTCTGTGCAGCACTTCTGGAACAGTCAATGGCTGTTATCTTTACAAAACTAACCCTGTATGGTAGACTTCACCATGGCTTCTCTATTGTGAGCCAGCGTAGTGTTACACTGGCGATGTGGGAGATGGGGGTTCTAGTCCCCGCTTGGCCTTCCTGGGTGACTTTGGGTCAGCCACTCACTCTTAGCCTATGCTACCTCGCAGGGTTGTTGTGAGGATAAAGTGGAGCTGTGTGAGCTGCCTTGGCTTCCTCAGATGGAAAACAGGTGGATATAAATGTAACAACAACAACAACACAAATGGGGGCATGAGTCAAGGATTTGGGGGGAGAGTTTTGTTTGCCAAAAGATCCTTGATGAGCTCAGAAAGATTTAAAATTAAAATCTCAGCAGTGCAAACATGGCAGAAGCAGGAAAGCAGCACACTAGTTAAAGCTGTCCTTTGATGCTTCATAAAAACAGAGAGTAAGTGCATTTGAAGTCTCCAAAATGAATTAAGGAAGAGTTGCATTTTATTGCTGTTATGTGTGCTTTCACAGCTACTTTTCTTTCTCCCCATCGGTTTAAAAGAAAAAAGAGAAAAACGCACAGGACTGTGAGAGTCATCCAGATGCATCTGATGAAAGAGGCTCTTCCTGTTACAGAAAGCTCACACCACCCTAACTTGCCATTGCAGGCCATTTCATCTCCAAGGTGCATGCAGAGCAGAGACCTGCCCAAATACCAGTTCACAGAAAATTCAGTATGAATGCATGAATTTAACTCATGGCTGGCAAACAGGGAGATCAAGCTCTGTTGGCAGATCAGACCAGCAAGGGTTTCTGACTCCATATATACCAAGAATAGCAACAACTAAAACCCCTTTCCTCCCTAAATGAGGTTTCTGAAGGCTTGGGATATGGGGATTTTCTTGTGAAAGGACTTCAGAGCATAGTACCAGCGCTGACCAGAAATCCCTGAGCTTAGCATGTGCTCAGGGAAACCATGGTCCTGAACATATCTGCTTGCACCAATACAATGCACACGACATCAGTGGGTCCTAGTTAAAAAAACACACAAAGCTAATTCTGCAAGGCTGAAATTGTCTCGCTGCCAATTTAACCCTTACAGTTTAATTTAAGGAACCCTGAAAACAGTAATTCTATGAAAAGCTTTAGGACTGAGAGGCAGAATCTGAGATACCATTCAGAAAATATTACAACTTCCTGACCAGCATAGGCAAGCTCTGGTAGTGAAGGCGAGAGTCCGAAACCTTATTTCTATTTCCCCCATTAAAAATGGGGCAATCACAATTCTCTCTGCTCCCATAGGAGAGGTGGGATGACTCTGGAGCTGTAGGATGTTTTTTCCTAGAACTCCAAGAAGGACCAACCCAAGCCTGGTGCAAAAGCTGAAAATGTAGCATTTGAAAATCTTGAGCCCAGGATTTTGCTTGGAGGGCTAGAAAAGCACAGAGCTGATCCTGATACAAAAATCTACTCCACTTCTTGGGAAACTGATCTACTTCTGGTTACTGTTATTTTGGGGGTTATTGTTTTGTTGAGATTGCTAAACAACTGAGAGTTCAACATCCTTGCAGATGCCCTGCAAAACACACAATAAAAGTTCTGCTCCTAAAGCCAGATCTTCCTTTTGCCCCCTCCCCACCCCCAACCAGTGTTAGGGTATCCACAGCCTCCAACACGAAACGAGACAAAACCCGAAAGTGGATCAATTTCCCATAGCAACAAAAGGGGCTCAACTAGCTGATGCAATTGGGCATATCTGTGTGCTCAAGTTCCAGGACAAACACACAGATGCTCCCCACCGCTGGATCCAGCCCTTCACACTCCTCCCTGCTCTCCCCCACCAAACGCTTATTCCTCTGCTAGAGAATTTCAAAAACATGGTGCTGTGTTTCTAGGGGCAGAAAAAAATCTTCTGGAAGCAGAAAACATCCACCCAGCCAGCACCTCAACACACAAAGAAGGAATACACAAAACACACAACACAGAGAGCTGTCCAGGAGCACACACAAACAGCATCTGCGCAGCTTAATAGGCAAGGGCTGAGCAGGGCACCCGGGAAAAGAGGTAGAGGAGTTTTCTGGTCAGAGAAAGAGGAAGGAGGCAAATACCCGGCTCAGAAGAGGAAAGCAGGAACGGTGGAGCCAGCAAGCCAAAAAGCGACAAAGCTGGATTAGTTACACTGCTCGACGGGACCCTCCGGGGCTTGAAAAACAGCTGCCAGGAGCCGGAGACGTTGTGGACGCGGCTCTCCAAAACTGGTGTCTGCGTACGCAGGGCGGGAAGGTTGCCTGATAAATAAGGAGGTGACGACACCGCAGGGCAATGCTCACATATGTGTCATTGCCTTCACACGAGGAGGGAGGGAGAGAAAAGGGGAAGCCAAGGACTCGAATGCAGCTATCAGCAAACAGCAAACGCCGTCCCGCATGCCCGGGTTAAGCAATGCTCAGCCGCAAAACTGGCAGGCTGGCTGGCTGCCTGCCTGCCCCAAAATACAGAGGACGAGGGTGCTGAACGAACACCTCAGAGGCGTCCCAGGCTAGCCCACTGCATTGCTGTACTGCAACAGCACCGAAGGAAGAAAACAAGCAGACGCGTTCTCCACCACATGAGGCAAGAAACCATTGCCAAGTAGGAACAGGTTCTCCAAGGACCACAGTGGAAGGTAGAAGGGAGGGAGCTCTTGCCCCCACAAGGTTAAAGCGTGGCAGGGGGGACGCCTCAGAAATATTGCCTTGAAGCAATGCTCTTCTGCACAGGCACAAAGGAAACAGCTAATTCTATATATTTGCAGAGAACCCCTATTCCTAAGTGTTGATACTGATGTAGCCTAAATGATACCACCGACTGACAAGAGGGAGAACTTAACAGGTTCGAGGGAACCCCAAGGGTTGCAGAAGTAAATATATGGGGAACCCAAGCCAGTCTGAGCATACTCTGCAAGCGTGGGTGCTTCCCAGCTCCAAATACAAGCAAAATGACCTCCAACAATGATAGATTTAATGTGTTAAAAATCTTTTAAAATAAACTAAGTAGTAATCAATTTAGACAGGTTTAAAAAGTTCATATGGATGAAATGTTTCCATATGAAACACCAGCTTCAAGGACCAGTTGCTTTCTGTAGCCTCTGCAGCTTCCAAACCAAGAAACAAGGTCAGACGTCTAATGGGAGTCTCCTCGCAGGGGTCTAAATTGTGAAGATACCAGTGGCTACATGATCCCCATTAAGCAATGCATGTCAGCATGTCAACTAGAGTTGGTAATGGGCAGCGAGATCACATGACCTCCCAGGGACAAGGGTGAGTCCAATCTACAGACTTGCCCCTTCAGAGGGAGTGCAACCCCACCCAGAACAAGCAACCCCCCCCCCCGGATTCCTGAATCTGCAAACTGCCCACAGAGGATCCAGGTTCAGTTTATTAGCCCTCCTCTGGCCCATCACTGCATCCAAGCACCGGCTCAGAACACACACAGCTTTTCCTTGTTCAGATGTCATAGAGAAACAGAGCATAATGGTGATACCTTGCCCCAAATCCCCCAGCCCATCTCCCAAGGAAGGGCATCCATCGGGGTGATCAAGGCCAGCTCCAGCCCCAGACTGGGCTGGAATCCCGAGCAGAATGGATCTGGACCATCAGTTTCTTTCAAGGGTTCCTGTGACTGGGATGCCAACACTCTTCAGCACCTTACTGAAGGGGGGGGGGGCAATTTGTCATGACAGTTGGAATAAATCTCTCAATCTAAGGAGCATCTTTTCTGGGAGGGGGTCACACCAACACCTCCTTCAAGGCAGCAGGCACCACGCACTCCTCAACCCACCCGGCGGATCTCCCGTGATCATCTCAGCTCAGGACAAGGGCTGAGAGAACTGACAGCAGTCTTCACCAATCTGGCACCCTCTGGATGTGTTGGAATGAAATTCCTGTCAGACCCAGCCAGCAAAGCCAATAGGCAGGACTGGCAGGAGTGATGGGAAATGTAGTCCAACACAGCTGGAAGGCTCCAGACTGAGGAAGGCTGCTCTTCAGTGCAGCAGACGTTATGCACTAAGCTAGCCCTCCCACCCCAGGGCCCAGGTGTGTCAAGAGTTCAATTCCCATCATCCCCAAAAAGCAGCAATGTTGTAATCCAAAACATTGGACAGACACCAGACTAACTGGCACCATGAGAAGGGACACTCCCGGCCACAGGCAGTGACAGAATGTTGTGGCAGGTCTCATTTGTTATTTAACATAAAATTAATTTAAACTTTATTTAAAGCATCCAGCTCGTTGCTTGAGATACAAGGCAGACTGCACCAGGTTCAGAAGATGCTTTCTCTGCATCATTTCCATGAAAAGGACCCACTGATAATCCTATACAGAGTAGGCCTATTGAAATGAACAGAATGTAAAGTGGTCGTGACTACTTCTTCCGCCCCCTGGTGTACAAAGGACGACAGGTCTCCCACAGGCTGCCTGCATGTCACCCGTTCTAAGCTGGGGGTTTAGAAAGCACAAACCTGCTTTGAAGGAGAAGAGAAAGAGGAAGACAAGAGGGATGTTTCAGAGAGAGCCTCTTACCTCCTCCACTGGGATGAACGAACTCGGGCCTCTTCGCAGCTGCCGGGGGATTTTTATCCCTCTGTTCTGGGAAGGAAGGAAACAGACCTTATTAAACATTCCCATCAGGGACGTGCCCACCACAGTCACGACTTCAAAGGGAAACTTTCCCTGCCCCCCCAGCCACCCCGCAAGGAGATCATTAGCTATCATCATTCAATGCAGCCTCTCATCGCCCCCAGCAGCAAAACTACTTGCAGTGACAGCCCCAAAGGGACTGCGACAGACACACCTGGCCAGAACTGGTTAGGCCAGTGCAAAGCTCCGGGTTTTACCACCCACTCCAGTGCTCCTTGCAGCAATGCACCTGGAGGGGAGGAGGGCCGCAGGCGAGTGTCCCCACAGCCCACCCACACGGAGTCCCAAGATCTCGAAGGATGAGTAGTCTGGCTGTCCCCTGCCACGTCCTGCTGTACGGCCAAGCAGCTCCTAGCGCTTGAAATACTACAGCACAGCCTGGCACAGGGAGAGATGGCACTTTGCAGCAGGAGTCGGGCTTGCCCCGTCAGAGCAGCTACCCTGCTTCAAATTTTGCACCTCCACCCGCCCCGTGGCTGGAAGGAAGCGTTCCTTAACCTAGTTTCTTCCTTCTTATTCCACAGACGGCGGTGCCAAGGAAAAGAACCCCAGGCTGAAGGACGAGCCAGACTGCTGAGCTTAGGAGCCACTTGCTGAACTCCATGACTGGGAAAGAGAAAGAGAAAGGAAAGATCCAAGATGCGGTTTGCTGGCTCAGCATTTGCCATTTCTGCGCAGTCCTTTTAAGCTGGTTACTTCAGGGGATTTTACTGAAGAAGCCAACCCAAACTAGCTACTGCCGCACCCTCTTCGGGGTTCTTTCCATTGTACTGCCCAAGGTGATGGTGCCAGGGATCTATGGCTCTCGAAGGCAGGAGTGGAGCCTGGGAGAGGCATAAAATTGGCCTCCGTCTCAGAGCCGTGCTGTTGTCTGCTCCTCGGATCCACAAGGCGAACGGAAACCCAAACCAGGCATAGACAGCCATTTATTTATGGTGCACGGGAGAAGGGGGCACTGGCTTATGCTGTGGGTTGCTGTTGTCAGGCATGGTTTTTGGCTGCTGGGGGAACTGAAGGCCCCCAAACTGTGGTTGTGCTGATATTTCAGTTTTTATTTGGAAGGGAGCTGACAGCATTGCTTAGCCAGTCTCGGAAAACCATGTCCCTCGGAGCTTAGCTGCAATCCTCACCAAGGCTGGTAGGAAATGAATGTACCCAGCAACTGCAAAATGTTCCTCGTTGTAATGTAAAGTATTTGAACCGCTTGGCCTCGAACAAGCAATTAGCTGTAAAAAAACACCTGCTCTGGGTAGAGATGGAAATTCCTAGAACTGATTTGTTGCTATGGCTCAACAGAGCTGCCTGAATCATCTGATTCATTTATGATGTTTGGATTCTCCTTGGGGACTGCCATGGCCAGCATCCACACCTCAAAAGTTACCACTATCCCACCTGCTGGCTCACCACTGGCCAGCACAACTTTCAAACCTGGTGAGTGCCGCATTACAACCCATGTTCCTTCTGAGCACAGGGAGGCTGAGGACATACCCAATGGCATACTGAACTCTGAAGGCACCTGGAAAACCACGAGATGGCTATTTTATGGGGCGTCCAATGCTCAGGGCAGCAGGACCGCACTGAGAGGCACATAACTCACTTTTCAGTGGGGCTAATCAGCATTCAAGTGGTGCAGTGGAAGCGGGACTCACAGGTTCAAAACAATGGGATTTTCTCATTAGGAAGGATGATCAAACCATCTGCTACCACCTTTGGAATTATTTGACCCCTCTGAGATAGGCAATGACCCTCACCATGGCAGGGCGAAAATGGATTTCCCCCTAGAAAAATGTATCACTGTGAGCTTGCAATGCAATGCTAGCTCCTTGCTGTATTTTAAAGGATTTAAATGTCTTGATTCTGAATGGGCAATAATGACATATTACCTTTACATTCCTGGTGGAGGTGAAAACTGCTAGAACTGGTTTATTGGTGTGGATCAACAAAGTTACCTGAATGTTCAGGATCACCCAAGGGACTGTAGCTATGGGATGTCATGATAAATGCCTGCACTATGATATAGCACTGGATGTACATATTTATATAGCATTTTGCACACACAGCCCTTGATCTCATATAACAGCAACTCAGGGTATGGGTTGTCATGAACTATGAGCGGTTGCCATGTACAAACCCTGAGCTATGGTTTAATTCTGGGTTGTTTGCCACAAGCAGCCAAGAGTTCAAGTTTTCACATAACAATAATACATGACTCAAACTGTACTCCAGGTTGTCACTATCTGCAAGCCAGGTCACCCAAAAGTTAAAAATGCTTCACTTACATTGTCCCAATAATCTGTAAAACAACCTGCAGTCTGGCTTGGGATTCCTTGACATATTCCAGATGGAGGCCTTGAAGGTGACAACAGGAAATCTACCAAGGCCGCCCAAGTTCACCTGTGGCAGAGCCGAAGTCTGAACTGGAAACCTCTTGGCTCACACTTGTATTCTGAACTGCAGTGCCAGACTAGCCCTTTCATCATATGGGCGTGTTTTTGCTCATACAGCAATTCCAGAACGAGCATCACCTCAGTGCACCCAGCAACTGCGGCTTCCTAATTTTTGCTGGCATGGATTTTTTAAAAACTTAATTAGATCTAACAATAGTATGCAAAGTTAATAGGCCTGCAGGATTATGGTTTTTTCCCCGCATGCTGGTATTAGTACCAAAAGGTTGTTCCTTTGCTATGGGAGTAGGAAGGGAATTATTTCACTATTATTTCTTCTTATTTCTTGCATTTCTATACTGTCCAATAGCCAAAGCTCTCTGGGTTGTTTACAAAAACTAGAAACCTGAAAAATGTATTATAAATACCAATATATGCAAAAATCTAAACATGCAACACACAGAGAAAGACCTCCATCTAAAAACAGTGTTAAACAAAGAAGAAAACAGTCAATTGTTTAACAATTGCTAATGTAAAAACAGTTGTGACCCAGAAACTTTACTGAAACCATCTACTGCAAATCAACCAGAAGTTTCCCTTGCCTACATGAGAAAAAACCTGTACACCTGGACAGGTAGAGTTGGGACTATTTATTCTGTTGATTCCCTAATGAGGGCTTCAACAGATGCCGCTTTATTAATGCAAAAAATATCCAGGCATTTTTAAAAGTTCTCCCACATCTCCACTCCAGCAGCTAGCTAAACGGTTCAGGTAAACCGACCTTATTTGACCAAGGGCAACATGGCTGGCTCTTGGAAGACTTTTAAAAAGGGGCCACAAGCCAAGAGCCCACCTCGAGGGGTGCAGGCAAAACTCACTGGAGGACTGACCTTTGCCACTTTCCTTCTCTCCACCTGCCACTAATCTAGCAAGCCTAACTCAACTGGAAAATAAAGCTCTCCAAATCTGCTGACTCTGCGGGGTTTTTTCCATCCCCAGAGAGAGGGAGGGAGACAGAGAGAGGAAGGTTTGATAAAACAAGTAAGATAGAAGGTCCATTGCAAAGCCTGGGGTAGTTATTTCCTGTTGCCAAACAGCTAGTTAAACTTTATAGCGAGTTAAACTGTATTCTTTTGTCACCAGATATTAGCGGTAGCCAATCAGAGCAAAGAGCACAGTGAGATTTCGAGTCCATGTTATTTTGCAATGGCTGGAATTCCCAAGGAGGCAGCTAAAAGGTTTGCTATAAACTGCCACATTTACAGCCAATGATATACCTTCTTGCCCATTATCTATTACCCCTCCTCATTTGGACTTCTAGAAATTCCCTCCACATTAAAATCGCCATCTAACGAGGAAGAGAATGCTTGGCTCTGCATGCATGTGAGACAATGTTTGACCATCTCTCTGCACAGATGCCTCTAGTGGGTGGGGCTTAGGGGTCAAGCCCCTCCCCCCAAGAAACCCAAGGCACCTCCAGGGTCAGGCTGCGCCCGCAACTGGAGTATTGTGCTCAGTTTTGGGCCCCTCATTACAGAAAGGATGTAGCCAGGTTGGAGTGAGTGCAGCGTAGGGCCACAAGGTTGGTGGCCGGTTTGCAGGGGATGCCGTATGAGGCGAGACTGAGGGAACTGGGTCTCTTCAGCCTGGAGAAGAGGAGACTCAGAGGGGATCTGTTGGCCACATACAGGTATGTGAGGGAATGTCACACAGAGGTGGGGAGAGACCTGTTCTCCCCTGCAGAGGAAGGCAGGACACGCTCCAACGGAGCAAAGCTCAGGGAGCCAAGGTTCCATTTGGATGCCAGGAAGCACTTCTTGACAGTCGGGACCCTGAGGGTGTGGAATGGGCTTCCACGGGAGGTGGTTGAGGCCCCATCGGTGAGGGTGTTCAAAGATAGGCTGGACATGCACATGGTGGGCATGTTGTGAGCGGAGCCGGCTGGTGCCGGAGGTCAGACTAGATGGCCCCGGAGGCCCCTTCTGACTCGCTCTGTTTCTATGTTTCTAACTTCCTTGGACTGAAGGTTCCAGCTGCCTGCTCAAGTGTGCTGCAGTGGAGCTGAACAGTGGAAGATAGCAACTGAGTTCCAACAACATGATAACCACACTCAGCCCCTGAGTATTGGTTGTCTCTGGAGCATGGGCTGTTGTGGAACTGTGGCTTGTCATGTTTCTGAACCCAACCAAAAACACAAATCATAGCAAACAACTCACAGTTTACAACCACTGACAAACCATGGCTTCTCTTCATGGGTCGTTTAACATTAGCAACCATGGCTTGTGAGCTCAGCAAGGTTCAGACAATACAATAAGCCACATTTCAGTGAAAGTCCATGTTTTAACCCAGATACAACCTTGTGGGCTATCATAGGATATGAACCCTGTCAGTGTTAAGATATGGGATGCAAATTCAGCAGATGCCTCAGAATCTAAAGGGCACATGTGTCCTTAAAATTGTATCCTTTTGTTCTCCGCTATTCTAGATGGAATAACCGTCATCCGTCCACACTGGTTACATATGTGTAATTCACCTTTCTAACGTCAATCCCCACAATTTACTCTT